AGAAGTGGGGATGTGCACCAATGATTGCACAACATTTAGTATCATTCTGGGTCAAAATCTTGGAATTCCCTCCCTAATGGCAATGTGGTCAACCCACAGCAGGTGAACTGCAGTGTTTCAAGAGGGCAGGTCATCACCATCATCTCCAGGGCAACTAGGGACTAGCAATAAAGACTGGCCAGCCAGTGATGCCCACATCCCACAAGTTTAAAAAAAATTGTGGCTCCTCAGATACTGAAGCAGTCTATATTCAAATGCAAAAAGACCTGGACAATATCTGGGCTTGGGGTGAAAAGTAGCAAAGAGTTCCAAAGACACACAATTGTCAGGCAATGACCATCTCCAAAAGAGATAATCTAACTATAGTCCCTTGACATTCAATGGCATTACCATCACTGAATACTCCACTATCAACATCCTGGGCGTTACCATTGACCAGAAACTGAGCTGGAGATGCCAGATAAATATAGTGGCTACAATAGCAGGACAAGAGGCTAGGAATACTGTGGCAAGGAACTCACCTCCTGACTCCCCAAAGTCTGTCCACCATTTACAAGGCACAAGTCAGGAGTGTGTTGGAATACTGCCCAGTTGCCTGGATGAGTGCAACTCCAACAATACTCAAGCAGCTTGACACCATCCAGCACAAAGCAACCTGAAGAATGGTAATACCCAAAACGTTGACTGCTCCTTTCCTCCAGATGGCGCCTGGCCTGCTGTGTTCTTCCAGCTTCCTGTTTGTTTACAAAGCAACCTACTTGACTGGCATCACATCCACAAACATTCAGTCATTCCACCAATGATGCTGAGTTATAGCAGTGTGTACCATCTATAAATACATTGCAGTAATTCGCCAAAGCTCCTTAGATAGTGCCTTCGAAACCCAGAACCATTTATTTCCAGAAGGAGAAGAGCAGCAAGTACATGGGAACACCACCACTTACAAGTTCCTCTTCAAGCCACTCAGCGTCCTGACTTGGAAATATATCACAGTTCCTTCAATGTCACTGGGTTAAAGTCCTACAGTTCTCTCCCTAATGCCATTGTGGGTCTACCAACAGCAAATGGACTGCAGTGGCACCAGGTATCAACTCACCACCACGTTCTCAAGGGCAACTAAGGACAGGCAATAAATGCTGGCTCAGTCATTGACACCCGGGTCCCACAAGTGAATAAAAAAGATGTGTTGGTGTTAATTCTCCAAAATTTCCTAGATTCTGGGAAGGTTCTGTCAGAATGGAAAGCAACAAATATAACCCATGTATTCAAGAAGGAAAAGAGGTAGAAAACAGGAAACCATTGACAAGTTAGCTTGATGTCTGCCATGGTCAAGGTGTTATCATTAAAGAGGTTATAGCTTATTTTATGGTCCAGACAAACTCGCCTCAAAAACATTTAAGATAGCTTGGACTCCAACTTTTTCTTATTTTTAAAGGCAAGTGTAAGGTGTTGAGTTCCGGCTACAAATCAATTGGTCAAACTACCCAGCTTGAAGCTTTATTTTTACATTATAGTAAAATACAGACAAAAGAAAGAAGAATTGGAATAACTTAGAGTCATTGAATCATACAGCTGCTCAGCATGGAAACAGGCCCTTCTGTCCAACTCGTCAACACCGGCCAGATTTCCTAAATTAGTCTAGACCCATTTGCCAGCATTTGGCCCAAATCTCTCTAAACCGTTCTTATTCATATACCCATCCAGATGCCTTTTAAATATTGGAATTGTACAAGCTTCCACCACTTCCTCTGGCAGTTCATTCCAAACATCACCACCCTCTGTGTGGAAAAACTGCCCCTTAGGTTCCTTTTAAATTTCTCTTCTCTCACCTTAAACCTATGCCCTCTAATTTTAGACTCCCCTACCCTGGGGAAAAGACCTTGACCATTCGCCCCATCTATGCCCCACATGATTTTATAAACTTCTATAAGGTCACCCCTCAGCCTCCGACACTCTCGGGAAAATAGCCCCAGCCTATTCAGCCTCTCCCTATGGCTCAAACCCTCCAAAAAGGATTCTAGGCAATCCAAGATGGAGGACGGGGAAAAACTGTGATTGTAAGAGCTGCTCCTTTTTTGAAGTATTTTCAGTACTGGAACTGGTTTCCTTGCACCTTTGGAGCAGTAATTAGTATTTTGTAAGCTGTTGCATTGTTTTTTGGAGCTTAACTCTATTGGAAAGCTTAACAGAATAATAGATTATTTAACATGTAAACAGTGACTGTTCCATATAGTACCATTCAATAAACATATCCTTGGCAAAGGCAAATTCAGTAAAATAAATTGTCTCACATGCAATTCTAGCAGGCAAGAAGAGAACTCAAGCTTATTGCAGTAACAGGGAGAGAACAGCTTCCACATCCAGCTTCAAAAACCCAGCAATTGTTGAAAGCTTAAACTAAAATCCTGGTTCTGCAGGAGCTTGACTCCACCCCTTCAAGCTGTCTCTACTATTCCAACATTAAAAAAAACCAAGGCACTTCAAGGCACTGGAGCAGTACCACTGATGCTGCCTGTGCAAGATCCTGCAAATCTGGTGGGAAGAAAGACGCAACACCAGCTTCCTTGACCAAGCCAACATCCCCAGTGTCAAGGCACTTACCATCTTTGATTGGCTATGATGGACTGGGTATGTCGTCCACATGACCAAAATGAGACTCCCCAAGCAGGTGCTCTACTCCCAGCTTTCAAACAGCAGGCAAGCCCTAGGTGCACCGAGGAAGTGCCTCAGTAATACCCTCAAGGCCTCACTGACGAAGTGCAGCATTCCCACAGGGACCAAGACTATCCAAAGTGGAGGAGGAGCATCCAGGAAGGCATCAAATACTTTCAAACTTGCCATCAGGAAAAAGTGGGAGCTAGGCGAAAACAGCGAAAGGACTGCTCTGCCACACCAATATCCTTTCTCGTGAGCACCACCTGCCCCAAGTATAACAGAGCCTATGGTAGTTGAATTGATATGTACAGCCACCTATGGACTCACCCCGACAGTGGAAGAGTGTCATTCTCATCTGCGAAGGACTGCCGATGATGATGCAGGTATCCCAATTATTAAGAAGGTTAATAGATTGCTATCCTTTATTACAAAAGGAATTGAACATAAAGGTAGAATATTAGGGCATTGGTGAGACCACTTCTGGAATACTATGTGCAGTTTTGGTTTCTTTACCGAAGGATGTAAAGCATTGGAAGTGGTTCAGTTGAGGTTTACTAGATTGATACCTGGAATGAGCAGGTTGCCCTCTAAGGAAAGGTTGTACAGTCTGGGTTTGTTTCTACTGGAGTTTAGGAGAGTCTTTGTTGAAGTCTACAAGATCCTCAAAGGTGGATATGTAAAGGATATGAGATAACAAGGTGTAGAGCTGGGTCAACACAGCAGGCCAAGCAGCATCAGGAGAGCAGGAAGGCTGACGTTTTGGGCCTATGGTTGAGCACAGAATTAAGGGATACTGTTTGAAAATTAAGAAATGCCTTTTGGGGCATAAATTGTTTACTCTTAAGTTTGCGCGTGTGTTGGGAACATTCTGCCTCAGAAGGTAGTTGTTTGGGTCATTGAACAATTTGAAGTTGGAAGCAAGGGAATGAAAGTTATTGGGGTAGAGGGAAGCGTGGAATTCAAACAAACAGATCAGCTAGAATCTTCTTTAACAGTGGAGCATTGGCTTGAGGGGCCAAATGGTCTACTGCTGTTCCTAATTTGCATGTGATAGAAAATGTGAAAAAATATTGCATATACACAGGGGCGACTTGGTGGTAGCACTGCTGCCTCACAGTGCCAGGGACCCAGGTTTGATTCCACCCTTGGGCGACTGTCTGTGTGGAGTTTGCACATTCTCCCCGTGTCTGCGTGGGTTTCCTCTGAGTGCTCCGGTTTCCTCCCACAGTCCAAAGATGTGCAGGCTAGGTGGATTGGCCATGCTAAATTGCCCATAACGTTCAAGGATGTGTAGATTAGGTGTGTTATAGGGGGATGTGTCTGGGTGGGATGTTCTGAGGGTTACTGTGGACTTGTTGGCAGAAGGGCCTGTTTCCACACTGGAGCGATTCTATGATCTATACAAAATTATTCATAAATATGTAACATAACGGTGGCAGATGTAGGGGTTCAGATCAGATCAAGACAAGAGGTGGCTTGTTAATCTAGTTTTGAAACACAATTATTGCCACATACTTAAAATAGTTTTCAGCCCTTTACCATTCATAAAAGAATGAGATAATTGGAGTTTTAAGGTTGGACGTTTTTTGAGGGTGGTGCAGAGCAGATAGGCTCAAGGCTGCAAGCAAAATGCCCACCAGTCTGTTTAATTTTCAACTCTTTTGATATCTAGGATTTCACAGCACTGAAGCCTGGAAACTAAACAATACCAATATAAAAACCAAATTTTCAAACTGCATGTATTTCACGCTAATAGTAGCCATCCCAGAATATATCATCAAGTTGGAAGATGCTCCAATTAGTGGTAACGTAATGATAACCAACCAATTCTAACACAAAGTAGAAAGCTGATGAGGAAAATTCAAACTGTTCCTCCTTCCATTGAAAATCCAGCAGCTAGGAGTGAGCCGGCGGAGGAATACACCCAAAGGGCATTTTGAATAATAAGCTCATATAGTAGGGAACTTTAACTAATAGCCCAATTTAACAACGTTTGGATTTATATTAGCAAAAAAAGTGGATTTCCAGCTTCCAATTCAAGTCCTTTCTGCATCAAAAAAGGTGATTAGTTTGAATGTAACCGCTGGAACTATTTCAAGTGGAGGAACACACCCCTTGATCGTTTTGCCTTTCCCCCTCCTTCCCCAAAGAAAGGAGGAAAAAAGTTTTGCTGAGGCATCAACCAAACCTGTTAACCGGACGTTCCCCACGCACGCTTGGATTGATTGACGTGAGGTTCTGTCCAATAGACGCTCGGGATCTGGCCGAACGGCCGGGCGTCTGGGGCAGGCGCGCCAATGAGAGTGGAGGACGCGCCAGCGCTGGGGGTGGGATTTCCAGGTGGAGTGAGAGAGGGGGGGGGAGGCTGTTTAATCGTTTCTCTCCGTCAATCAAAGAAAAAGGGAGCGAAGAGGCCAGCGGGGAGACAGGGAGAAAAAAAATCAAATAAAATCTCCTCAGGGGAGGATGTGAGAATTAATAATAAATTACCCAGAAGGCTAACGACATTTTTTGAGGGCAATTTTGATTTATTTTCTCTCGAATCGTCTCGGTTGATAAGCGGCAGTTAGCGAGCAACGCGAGGCACAATTGTGTGAATTTTTGAATCGTGGTTGCCGTTTTCTTCCCCTCCTTTTCCAGCCTCAGTTAGTCCCTTTATTGTTATTTTCCTCTTTCTTCTTTACCTTTCTCATTTTTTTTCCTCCCTCCCACCGTCACCCCATACCCCCCACCCCCGCCCCTTCATTCCCACTCCCCATTCCTGGCTCGAACCATGTCGATCTTGCCCTTCACGCCGCCCATCGTCAAGCGTTTGCTGGGCTGGAAGAAAGGCGGCGAGTCGCAGTCTCCCTCTTCTCAGTCCCCGTCGCAGGCGCCGCCGCAGCAGCAACAACAACAACAGCAGCAACAACAGCAGAACAACGGGCAGGACGACAAATGGTGCGAGAAAGCCGTCAAAAGCCTGGTGAAGAAGCTGAAGAAGACGGGGCAGCTGGATGAGCTGGAGAAGGCCATCACCACCCAGAGCTGCAACACCAAGTGTGTGACCATCCCCAGGTAAGGAACGCCTAGCTTCTGCCAAACCTCTCTTCCTAAACTATGCAGCCAGGTTAAGTTGTTACATTTTAATGATACACTTTTTTTTGTGACAAGTTTATTTTTGTTGTTTTAAAATTAACTCGATCATTTACCAACGAGCGTATCCGTAGGCCCTGTGGCCAAATGCACGTTTGTTTCACTTGATTTTCGGAATCTAAGGCAAATATTTTGTTCCAGTTTCTGCTAATTATAAACATTGGTAATATTTGACACTTGGTTGATGTGTATTAGGTTTTTAGAAATGTGTATTAACTTGTGATTTTAGGTTATAACTTCATTAGTGTAGCTTTGTTCGAAAACATATGGTAATTTTGTTTATAAAGAGGGACAGTTCTATTCCATTGAACAGCACACTGGTCTGGATCAATTTGTAACTTTTTTTTGTTTTTTTTTTGTTTATCTTCAGTTAGTATAAAAATAAGTTGTTATTACTGTCTGTTGAAGGATAGTGTTTTCTCCTGCTCATGTCCCCTGGTTAACGCTTTGGATTTGATATTAAAACTTTTTATATAAAACATTGTTTATGGGAATCAGTGTTTTCCTTATACTTTTTTTTTACAATATGCCAAAGTTGCATTTCATATCATCTCTGTTGCCTCGAGAAAGTGCTCCTTACAGTGATGGTTTCATGAAGGTGTTTGATAGGAAACTTCAGTATTTTGTTTATTATGATGAAGAAACGGGGCTATATGTCTTTTAGAATGGTAGTACTTGGAGGTGGCAGTATTTCCATGCCATTGTTTTTGCCTCTTCGGTAGCAAAAGTTAAGAGTGTGGTTAACTTTTTTTTCCATTTTGTACGGAGAAGAGCATGCAGGATGTAAATAGCTGTCATTAGGATGATTTTAATCTGATTTCTTTAGTGGATAGTTTCTTGAAACAAAAGTTTTGAGATTACATTAAAACATTTTTCAGAATTTGGTTTTTGTTCTCAACTTTTCTATTAAAATGAATGCATTTTCTTAAATGCCAGGGCAAAAATAAAGAAGGGCACTTTTTTTTTCTAATATTCACATCTGATCCCCTAGGGGAAATAAGAGCATGTTTATCCATCTGAGCCAAAATGATGGAACTATTGTGTTTATCTTGGCGTGCTATCGTTTTCTCGCCAGCTCTCAAAAATAAGGGGCACAAAAGAATATATTACAACTGCAGTCCCTCTCTGCAGTTTAATTCTGAGTCATTTAGGCTGGTAGCCTCGTTAATAAATGAGAGGAAAAACAATGACGTTTTAGTTAATAGTCATTCCCTTTTTTTATTTCATCATTTGTTGTGGAACTTTTCCATTAATTAAACCTGCCTGTGTGCTTGTAGAAGTTTATTGCAGACTCCTGGAATGTCATGGGTTTTTATTGCTTAGAGCAGAATTTTCTATTTGTTCTAATTTGTAACAACTCAAAGTTTGAACTGTAAGCTGAACAGAATCACTGGATAATTATAGCATTAGCAGAAGATGCTGAAAATCCTCAGTATCTGATGCAAATGGATAATGTTGGAGATCTTCAAACAAAAAAAGTTATGTCCTCGTTTGTGGTCTGTTTTTACACATTTGAATGCTGATGAAGTTATTTATGCATTTCCAGCATTGTGCCTGTTGTTCCCGTTATGGAAAAGTGGAGAAAAACCCAAATGATTTATTAGCACTAAATTATTTTTCGTTTTTAATGTATTCATGTAACTTATTTAATGCTGACTGTGTCCAACAGGTTTGGGTAAGAAACAAGTCCCAACATTATTTAATATGCATCTTGAGTGTGTATTCCGGTTTGGTGTCAATGTCAAAGCTCATCTTTAGTATTGATCTGTAAACTTTACACCAGTTCGATCTACCTGGAAATGGGATGGATTTATTTATGATCATATTGCTGGTAATATAGCAATGTGGCTTGGTTTAAAGTTGGCTAATTCTGCCAATAGGAGTTCACTGGCAAATGTGAATCAGACCTCTAATAGTATAAATTTAATTTTATTTCTATATATTGTGAATATTTTGCTGTTTCTAGAATCATGAGGCCATTTGGCCCATCATATCTGTACATGATTTGTGAAAGCTATCAAAAGTTAGTTTCTTGTCTTTTTTTCCCATAAATTCCAGCATATTTTTGTATTTCAAGTATTTAATCAGATTCATTTGAAAACTTAAGTCAACTTCCATCATACTTTCAAGCAATGCATTACAGAATGCAATGAATCAATGTAACAACTTTTTCTCCTCTTGTTGCCTTTTAATCTTTTTGGTTGCCTTAAATGTGACCTTCTGTCACTGGGAAATAACTTTCTCACTTGTTCTCCTGAAAGCCTTTTTTTAAAAAATATCCCTCCTATTTTTTCTCCTTCATCTCTGTTGTAAGGTACATAAGTGTACTTTTTGTCATCTCTTCATATTGAAATTTTTTTCCTGCTATCACTGTAATAAATTCTCTTCTGTATGTCTCTCCTAATTGTTGACATCAGTGCCATTGGCCATTCTAGTATCAAGTTAAGACAATGTGCCCAGATTTTAAAAGATGTGCAATCAATAAAATTAAAATAAAACAACATATGAAATAGTATTAATATTATAATTTGCAACTCCTTTTTCTTTCTTCTGTCTTCCATTTTTCTCCACCCCCGTCCCAACCTCCCCATCGTTGGAAATGCCACCATTTCCCAGTTGCTTTTAATTCTAATGAATTGTCACTGGCCTTGAAACATTAACTCTGTCTTTGCTCTCCGCAAACACTGCCAGAACTGCTGCCTTTCTCCAGCACTTGCAGTTCTTAATGAACAATACTATTTAATATGAAATAAAACAAAGTCTATGATGCAGTCAGATTGTGTGGTTCCCAGTGGTCGTGAAAACCTCATACACTCCAAGGGTAACCAGTTGTGGACGTGGCCGTTGAAGAGTGTTATTTTATAATAGCTGCACTTGGTCAACTTGCCAACACAGAAGTATAAGAGTACAATTTGGCTATTTGTTTGTGCATTTCAGTAAGGACATGGCTCGTGGTTGTCATCTCAATCCACTTTTCTGTCCGTCCTTCATAATTGTTGACTATCAAAAATCTACACAACTGCCTTCAGTAAATTTCAATGACCCATCTCCACTGCTATCCGGGGAAGGGAACTCCACATGCTAATAACCCTCGGAGAGAAAAATAATTTTTGTTTTTAAAAGGAAGACCTCCTTAAATTTTGGCCCCTGTTTCTAGTATCCTTCATGATAGAAAACAAACATCCTCCTGCTATTCACCCCATCCATTCCCCTTGGCTATCTCTTTGTTTTTCTAAACTTCAGTGGGTATAGATGCAAACTGTTCAACTTTTTACGGTAAGCTCTTCTAGGAATGAATCAAATGAGCCTACTCTGAACCGCTTCTAATACATCTATTTATTTTTAGTCAAGTAAAGAGACCCAAACTCTGTACAGTACTCCAGATGTGGTCTCGTCAACACTGCAGTGAACCTTTCCTACTCTGGCTTTTATTGCAAATGGAATAAAATAGACTTCCATTTGCCTTGCTGTACCTGCATTCTAACTTTGTGATTGGACACTCAGATCCCTTTATATGAAGTTCTATAATCTCTCTATTTAAATAGTATGCTGCTTTCTTTTTCTTGTTGGTGGATAAGTTCATGTTTTCCTACTTTATACCCATATGCCAAACTTGTGCCCACCCACCTAAACTTTCTGTAACCTTTTGCAGACTCCACCTCTTCACTTACTTTCGTATTTATCTTGGTATCAGTGGCAAATTTACAGTTTACGTTTGTAAAATTACATTTGTCATTTGTGTTTCCATTTTACCACTCTGTCGTTCAGTCTGTTAACATCTTACTTACCTTTTACTACTTTTGAGTTTTGACACCTGTAGCTTTGAATTGATGCCCTCCTATGTACTCGTGTTAATCTTTTTGATAAGAGCAGTGGTTCTAATACTAAGAATTACCACTGTACACTTACACCAGTCAGAAAACATCCATTTATTCTTAACAAAAACCGAAAGAACTGCAGATGCTGTAAATCGGGTACAAAAACAGAAGTTGCTGGAAAAGCTCAGCCAGTCTGGCAGCATCTGTGAAGAAAAAAAATCAGAACTCTGAGGAAGGGTCACCGGACCCAAAACGTTAACTCTGATTTTTTTTTTTCTTCTTCACAGATGCTGCCGGACCTGCTGAGCTTTTCCAGCAACTTCTGTTTTTGACCCATTCATTCTTGCCCAGCACAAATGTTAAACTATACAGGTACTAGAAATCTGAAATAAAAACAGCGTATCAAACGTTTAGCATTTCGGGAAGCATCTGGGAACAGAAGCAGTTTGTATTTTTGGTCACTGATCAATTCTGATAAGATTGTCAGCCTTGCATGCATTCTGTGTCTCTCCATAGATGCAGTCCAACCTGCTGGTCTATTTCCAGCATTTTCTACTTTATTTCAGTTCACTATTACTTAACATTATCATGTCAGCCATAATCTCATTGAATAGCATAGCAGATTTGATGGTCCAAATGGCCTAATTATATTCTTGTGTTTTATGGCCTTAATTCATGTCAATATGTTTCACCAATCTAAAATGCTCTGATTTTGCACATTACCTCTTTTGTGGGCCTCTATCAAAACTTTCTCTATTCAAAAAAATATACATTACTGATATCTCCCTCATCTATTCTTCTAGATTTATTCTCCAAAAAAGTTTGTCAAACACTTTTTCCCTTTCATAAATCTATGTTGACTGTAGTATTGTTGTGTTTCTAGTGTCCCATTATTGCATCGTTTGTAACGAATGCCAGCATTTCTGAACTACTGACCAGTCTGTAATTCCTGATTTTTGTCCTCCCTCAAAACCATCCCCTATTTCCTATCCTTTAGCAACATGGGATGTAGATTTTTTTTCTTTCTTTATTCATTAACAGGATGAAGGCATCACTGGCTAGGCAGCATTTAGTACCTGTAAATTACCCAGAGAGCAGTTCAG